TAACGGGTAATTAATTCCTATAGTTGTATTAAGTGGTTATGGTATATTTTTTATTATAAGTATATCCTGTAATTGTGTTTTGATGTTGTACCGTGGTTTATAGGAATTTGAAACTATAACATTGCGTGAACAGTCAGGGAGAAAAGTCACAATCTGGAAGGATAAATAACATGTGCTAAGTGTATGGGAAACATCAAATTCCACCATTAGAAGTTGATAACATTTCCCATTAACCAGATGCTAAGAAGCTAAGCATAATATAACTTATCTGCATCACTTAAAACAACCAGCATAAAATTATTTGTGTCTGTTATAGGCTTAGTAATGCATAACACTTGTAGCTGTCATGAATGATTTCCGCCGGTAGATGGCGATCTAGCCTTGATACTCTGTGGTTTGTGGCATGTTTCGTGCGGTTGTACGTTTCGTGTGCTCGTCATTGAGAGCTATTCGTTCGTCTGTTTGTAAATCTGCTCGTGTGAATCATTTCGTATGGTAGCCATTCGTATGACGACCGTTCGTGTAGTAGCTGTTTGAAAATGAACCATACATGAAATAGCCATTCGTATGACAGCTGTTCGTGTAGTAGCTGTTTGAAAATTAGCCGTTCCTGTGATTTTTTCCTGTGATTTCGTGTGTATAAGCTGTTTTGTGTCATAGGTATTTTGTGTTGTTTCCGTTTGTGTAGTTTGTTCGTACGTTTGAATTAGTCGTTTAGGTGAGTATAGCCGTAAGTGTGTATAGAGGCGTTTGTATGATTTGGTGCGGTTCGTGAATAAGAACATAATTTGTGTCCTTTTTACTCACTGTTTCCGGGTGCCTATCGGCCGACCTGGAAATGCTGCAAAAGTACCGGGAATGCGGCTGTAAGGGTGCCCCAGTGGTTGCAGCCGGCGGGAGCCGTTTAGCCAGGGTTGAAGACGCGCTGGAAGCCTGTAAGGAATACCGGTAGGCCCAAGGGGAGAAGACCACGAGGAAGACAGTCCCCTGAAACCGGAAGCGGAAGTGACCAATCGTCGTCGGCCTGGTATGGAGTAAAGTCTGAGTTTATATAGGCTGGATCACCCCCTCCCACAACTCCTGGCTCTGCCTTTATATATATATATATATTTATATATATATATATATATATACGTGTATATATATATATATATACAGTGAGTGAAAAAAGTATTTGATCCCATGCTGATTTTGAACATTTGTCTACTGACAAAGGAATGATTGGTATATCATTTTAATGGTAGGTTGATTTTAACAGTGAGAGACAGAATAACAAAAAAAAAGTCCAGAAAAACGCATGTCACAAAAGTTATAAATTGATTTGCATGTCAATGAGTGAAATAAGTATTTGACCCCTTCGACTTAGTACTTGGTGGCAAAACCCTTGTTGGCAGTCACAGAGGTCAGACATTTCTTGTAGTTGGCCACCAGGTTTGCTCAGGAGGGATTTTGTCCCACTCCTATTTGCAGATCCTCTCCAAGTCATTAAGGTTTCAAGGCTGACTTTTGGCAACTCGAACCTTCAGCTCCCTACACATATTTTCTATGGAATTAAGGTATGGAGACTGGCTAGGCCACTCCAGGACCTTAATATGCTTCTTCGTGAGACACTCTTTTGTTGCCTTGCAAATGATCCTGTGAGATATTCAGGAACTATAAAAAAAAAAAAAGCAACTCTTTTATAATATGTAACAGTTTGTATGCTCCCATGAAGAATTGTGGTATACAGCAATTAATAAAAGCACAGCATTTAATAAAAAGTAAATGTCCACAATACAGTTTCAGAAAATTAATATAGATTTTGACATCATGTTCTTTTGTAAATAAAGCTTGTTTAAATTTTTTTTTTTTTAAACCTAGTTTCCCTTTAAGTAATTGTACCGGAAGGTAAGGTCACATATCTGAGCATTGCAACATTTTATTCCATTCACACATTGGCCTGGTAATTCAATACCCGGATACAAAAACGGTAATTCAAACTTGTGATGGTAATTCTTCCTGGAATGGCGCACCTAGTTGTTCTTATCTGCATTAGCAGAATTCTGGCTCCTCTTACAATCACATCTTATCAAATTTCTTACCATTCTTGTGCTTTGATTTCTCCATCGCTGTGACTACAAATTATTCACATATACTTCCTCATTAGATTTACTGCTTTTTTTTCCATTCATAAAAGGAACCGATTTTCACACAAAAAATGCAATGCTTACCTACTTTTGTTTAATATGCTTTTGTCAACTATACTTATGTAACTAAATGTAATACATATTTTGATATCGCTCTGTAGTTTACATCTTTTTTTTTTTAAATAAGAGTTTGAGTTACTATAAAACGAAATCCACAGGAGGAAGAATAAAAAACACAACAACTCAAAAAACTGTGGAAATACATTCAATGTCTTAATGCAATAGTAGTCTATCTTGCTGTTTGTTAAGCACACAAACAGCATATGTTTTGATGGATCTCGCATTGTCTCTCTCTTCCTAGTACCTCAGGGAATTGCATTTTTGTTTGTATGTTTATTTATGAGAGGTATGAAAGCAAGAAAACCTTTGCTGTTTTGCTGGATGAAAAAACAGATACATTTTTGGTGGGTTACCAACACCTATACATAGTGCCACAAGTCGGTAGATGGAAATACATCCTCAGCACACCTTTCAGGTACAAATATACAAAACAATAGCAGCTGTCCAAATAGTTTTTTTTATTAATATTATTTTCTATAGTTTTCTATTTATCGTGTCTACAACTACTTCTATGCAGCTCATATTTACTTTGACTACATACATTCCACAAATTGGGTATCTACTGTATATTGAAATACACTAATAGTTTAGCAATTAAAAGTTATTTTATACCATAAAATCACATAATAATTGTAGGTGTAAAAGAGGGTGAAACCCACAGCCAATTCTGAGTACTATATACAATATAAACTTTCAGTGGTGCTAATTCTTCTTTAGTTTTTATTATCCCATTTGGAAAAAATTCAAAGACAAAATTATATGCCTTCAGATGGAAAATAATATTTGGTGGTCTTTATTTTGAATTTTATTAACTTTCTTTTGTTAATATTGCATTTCGAAGAAGTTGTATTATTTATATAATAACATATTCCATGATGTGTGTGTGTGTATATTTATATACACACTAGTCAGCCACAACATTAAAAATACTGACAGGTGATGTAAATAACATTGATTATAGTGTTACAATGGCACCATTCAAGAGGGCGGGGGATATATTGGGCAGCAAGTGAACAATCAGTTCTTGAGTTTCATGTGTTAAAAGCTTGAATAACTTTGACAAGGGCCAAATAGTGATGGTTAGACCACTGGGTCAGAGCATCTCCAAAACGGCAAATCTTGTGAGGTGATGAATGCTGGCCATGATAGAAAAGTATCAGAACACACAGTGCATCGCAGTTTGCTGTGTATGGGACTGCATAGCCACAGAACTGCTACGAGTGCCCATGATGCCCCTGTCCTCTGCTGAAAGTGCCTTCAATGGAGTTGTGAGCATCAGAACTGGACCATGGAGTAGTGGAATGAAGGTTGCCTGGTCTGATGAAGTTTTGTTTTAGATCAGGTGCATGTCTAATGTTTACCGGGGGAAGAGATGGCTGCAGGATGCAATATGGGAAGAAGGCAGGCCAGCAGAGGCAGTATTATGTTCTGGACAATAGTCTACTGGGAAACCTTGGGTCCAGGCATTCATGTGGAGGTTACTTAGACAAATACCACCTACCTAGAGATTGTTGCACACCCCTATGTTTTTGGGCTCTGTTCATTTTACCCCATGTACTGAATCCCTGACACAATGGGTAGTCATGCTCTGTCCAACATCAGAAAACTAAAGATCTACATATTAGGATACAATCACTTTCGAGAGGTTTGATTACTCCACTTGATGTTGTGCTACTACAGGTTTAAAGACCTTGCCTTTCTTTTAGAGTGTCTAGGATCTGTCGGCTAATCTCAGAGATGATCTCACATCTCAGAAATGTTACATCAGTCTGAGTAAAGCTGGTAGGTCTCTATCTAGAGACTAGGCATGATTTAAACATTAACCCACGGTACTACGAGCCTCAAAATGGCGGCAGTCAGCACAGCACCACAGACCTCAAGGATGGCTACAGGGCAGAGATGATGGAGAACTCTTCTTACTGATTTGAATGACATCTGCACTAAAGTTGGGCTCACTGTCCTGCAGGGCCGTCATTGTGGCCTGAAGCAGCAGATCCTCCCAGTCAAGGCATAGGCTGAGCCTACCTACCAAGCTGACATAGTGACCCACACTCTGTCGTCTTAACATGCTAACACTGTGGCAGATTATTTTTTTTATTTCAGGTTTAGTATTTTAGAATATTCCACTGTCTTACTTAGCTGTACAGTTTGCAGAGCTTGTTGGGTATATTGTTCAGGTGTCAGTTAAGTATGCTGTGGTGGTCACCTTACTCATTTGACCTCACCAGGATTTAGCGATCTCTTGTTTTAACATATCAGCTCGTATGAACAAAGCTATATCTCCTGGTCCTCACTCATATTATTGTTATATAGCCTATAGTATTCGTGTCTATGTTTTATCCCATGTTTTCACACTACTACTATGTGTCACAGATGGACATGACTATTTCACTCGTGATGTTCAATGTTTTTTCATAAAAAGTGCAAGTCTCTTGACATGTCCTATCTCATGTATGTAATTTATATTGTCACATCTATTCTTGATGATATGTCAGTACTGTGGTGTATCACCAAATTAATATATATATATTACACAAGGTTCGTCTACATTAAAAGGTATTTATTAAAAGGCAACAACACAATACTATAAATGTATCACAAACACACAGCCCAGACCCACGGAGCAACAACCCTTTTTAAATCTAGCTATCAATATAGTAACCCCTTCCCCACACGTTTGATCTCACCCACGGTTAGGCCTTCACATCTAGTAATGGCTCACTGCTGCAAGTTCAACATCACATCCACCAAGGAAGAAAAGGAAGCAACAGAGAGATTTCCTGCCTGGCCTTATGTTATATACCCTTAGTTGAGATGATGTGTTTTACATCACATCCTGTTCATGCATCACTTCCTTTAGCAATTGTGGGAGGGAAGTAAAGATTCTTAGCCCTCCTACCTAGACCTGTTTAAGGAGGTCCTGAAAGGAAGATAAATTACCATGCAAGGAAGACAAGTTACCACAAGTACAAGCCTGTTTGTCAATCTATACACCCGAAAAATAAAGAAATATAAAAAAGAAAAAAAATGATGACTTGATTAAATTAGATTTTATTTTAATTCAACAAAAACTGGGAGTGTGTATTCCAACCTGCTCATAAGGCCCAGTCTCTTTTGGAGACTATGGATAAATGTGATAAGATAAATTGGCACATTTTATAAAACAGGTTTTGCCTTTGAGAAGTCCTTTAGGTTAGAACTAGCCTTGTAGGTACTAAGAAAGGACAAGTGAAGGTAATTTGCTGAGTTCATTGGTCATGAATGGGTTTACATATGGATTACTGGGGGATGTTAATAAGGGTATGTTAAAGGAACACTATAGTCAACATATAAAAGCAAGAAGGACAGGTCCCCTAGCCTTCTTTCTTGCTTTTATATTAACTTCCCCTTAATAAAAAATATTGTTGAGTCTGTATTATAGATAAAACTTACCTCTGTTCCAGCGCCGAGATCCTCGGCAGGTCGAGCTCCCTTTTTCAACAAAATGAAGAAGTAGCAGGGCTCAATCAGATGCTTCTCTTAGAGAAGCGTCATAGCGATCTGGTGCACATGCGCGGTTGCCACCCTATGAATGAACACTTAGCGCTCTACCTCACATGTGCGTGGTATGCGCGTTCAGCCCCCTCCTACCGCAAATCTCCAGCACAAAGTATATAGTATACAAACACTATATATAAAGATTATATATAGGGAGAATATAGTATACAAACACTATATATAGAGATTGTTAAATATAATATTGTTAAACAAACACACACACACTCCATCTATTTCTATCTGTCTCTATCTCTGGTCTCTGGCCTGTCAGCCAGAGCCGTTGTGTGTGCAGGAGATCTTATCTCCCCACACTGTTGGCTCTGATTGCTGACAGGCTCCGGGGTTAACTAAATGATGAATGTGAATTAGGCAGTCTTGAACTCAGATGTCCCTCTGGTGGCCATCTGAGCCACTGGAGGTGTTCCTAGCTTCCAAAGTAAACACTGCATTTTCTCAGAAAATACAGTGTTTACATGAGAGGCTTCAGGGAGCTATTGTTCTCACCTAAACAACCTAATTGAGCTGAAGTTGTTCAGGTGACTATAGTGTCCCTTTAAGCATTTATATATGTTAGTGTCAATAATTTGAACTTAATGCTGAAAGCTAAAAGATAACAATGAAAAGCTGGCAAAGTGAAATAACTTTTTTACAATGCAAAGTGAGAACATATTTTTGGATATGTCTGATATAGAAAATTTTATTTTTGAGTTATTTTCTTCCCATTTTCTATAACATGTATTTTGGTTAATCTTGTGATGGCTGTGTCTTGTCAGGTAGTAGTTCTGGTGTCTATAGCATGTCCCTGGAGGCTCAGAAATGAAAATGTTGCATTTTCAGAAAAAAAGCAGTATTTACATTGCTGCCTATTAACACCTCTATGAGCAGTCACACAGATGGTCACTAGAGGTTTTCCTACTTCACTGCCTCATTGTGCTGAACGTTCCATATAGAGATGCATTGATTCATGCGCAATAGCGCAGACACACAGAGTGACTTAGGGAAAGAGACACACAGAAAAGCAAGGGAAGGGGAGAAAGAGACACATGAGGTGGAAGAACGAAACACATAGAGGGGCTAGGGGAACTAGAGACATACAGAGTGGATGGGTAAGGCAGAGACAAGGTGCTGGGAGACAATAAGAGACACACGAGGAGGGTGTAAGTCACACAAAGGGAAGAAAATGGGGGATTAAATATACTAAAGTGGGTAAGGCAACCAAAAGAGGATATAAGAAACACAAAAGGAGGTAGACATTCAAAAGGAGACTTAAGAGACCCATAGATAAAGGTAAATTTTCTTGGTGGGGGTGGGTGGGGGGATTTAGAGGATATAAAGCATAGCAGGAAAATCTGTTAGGTAAAATGTTGTTATTGCTAATAAACTTGACACTGAGAAATATTGCCATAAAATAATGGTGGAGAATGTAGATAAAATAATAAGTATCTGTGAGTCTTGTTTCCTTAAGCCTGCCAAAGGCATTTAGGGCAACAGACGTACGCCTTTTCCAGATTCAACAAAAAAAATAAAAACACACAGGGAGAAAGATCCAAAGCTGACAAAGATCGCAAACACTTCAAAGTCTCCAAAGTATCTTCCTGAGATCAAAGAAGACAGCAACAAGCCCCCAAAGGCCCAACGTATACGTACCATTCGGTTGAATGTGACTCCACAAACTGTCTGACCCCGCAAATTGGGGCAAGAACTTGTTCAAATCTCTGGATGCCAAGGACTTGCTCTTGTGAACAACATCAAGTAGAGCATGCCAAGGGGGTGCTTTTGTGAACGGCATCGCGGAGTACAGAGAGCCTGTAGCTACAGCAACTGTTGGTGTCTCCGAACAGTGCTCTCCCAATTGAGCAGTGTTGCAGTCTCATGGCTCTTGATATTACATCTTTGTCCATAGTGAATGATATTTTATACTCAATGTCTTATTCTCGTAAAGCTCAAAAATCTGTACAGGAATTGTTAAAAGGAACAATATAGTGTTAGGAATACAAACATGTATTCCTAACACTATAGTGCTGGACTACCCTGGCTATCCTCAGTTTGGAGATAAAAGGTAGTTCTCTTATTGCATCTCCAGCATATTGGAGAGCATGAGCTGTACATGTTAGTCTACATGGCACAAGGTACCATCTATTCATCACTTTGAATAAGGTTTCAAAAAGATTCAAGCAATGAATATATTTAAACAAAATAAACAAAATAAAGTGTCAGCGCTATACTTGAAAACCTAATTTAGGTGATCACTCTTAATCTGAAGTAAAACACTTATAAATGCGGATTCATGGAAATACTTCCAAGCGCAATAAAATAAAATACAATAAAACATAGACATATATAAACCACATCCCTGGGTAGCTGAGGATACTGGGAGTCACATATCTAAATTTCACGAAAATCAGTTCGGTAGTTTCCGTGTCGCATCGTGTGGAAGTTTGACTGGCTTGCCATGTGGTGGTATCCGATTTAGAGTTCCATGAAATCAGTAGCAAGAGCCGGTCTCCATTCACACAGAATTACACGAAAACTACCATAGATATGTTGCGGTTGGTTACATGAGAGTGCTCCCCTCGTTCGGTAGATTAATACTCTCGAACGCAGGTTTGATACTATGAGTGGAAATAGGTCAGACGGAACTTCCATAATAACCGGCCGTTCGTGTGATTGCCATGCTGAAAAACGTTTCAGGCAATCAACGAGTAAGTCCCGCTGGCCGCATTCGGGAGATTTAAGATGGCCGCCATCCTTTGTTCTCGCCACGTGTTCGCATGCCGAATGGCGGCCACCTAGGAGCACTCAATTAAGTTGCGGTTTTTCATGTGATTACTCGGTGCTACCCAGGGTGGTCTCCGTTTGGTAGAATGAATACATTTCCCGAACACATAATTAAAACGAAACGTTCAAAGGTAGTTAAAGAGCAGGGAGAGGACACAACCGAATGAACACAGGTGAATAAAGGGATATCTGTTACAATGGCCCCCCTTTTTCTCCCTGCTCCGACAGACCCGGTTGAACCTTTCCTGGTCCTGTAGGGTTGGCGGGAAATCTGTGGTTTAGTCTGATGCCAGGTCAGTTTGGCGTGACAGACCGTCTGCGTTCCCATTTTGCTTGCCTGGGCGATAATGGATAGTAAAGTCATAAGGTTGTAGGGCAAGGCTCCAGCGCAGCAAATGGGCATTGTCCCCTGAGACCTGGTTGAGCCAGACCAAGCGATTGTGGTCAGTGATGAGGGTGAAGGCACGGCCATAGAGATAGGGAGTGAGTTTTTTAAGGGCCCAGACCAATGCCAGACACTCCTTCTCAATGGCCGCATAACTGACCTCCCTTGGCAACAACTTCCGACTCAGGTAGGCTACTGGGTGCTCTCCTCCGTCCTCTCCGATCTGGCTTAATACTGCCCCCAGTCCAAACATTGAAGCATCTGTGTGTACAATAAATCTTTTGTTAGGATCTGGGGCAGCTAACACCGGAGCATTAACACATTTTTTTTTTTAACTCTTGGAAAGCCACTTCACACTCCTGGGACCACAGGACTTGTCGAGGTAACTTCTTTTTGGTTAAGTAAGTCAGGGGTTTGGCCAGGGCGCTATATTCCGGTACAAAGCGTCTGTAATAGCCGGCTGTCCCCAAGAAGGCCATGACTTATGTCTTGATACGGGGAGTGGGCCAATTAGCAACGGCCTCGATCTTAGCCGGCTCTGGCCGTTGCTTACCACACCCAACTCGGTGGCCTAAATATTGCACCTCCGCCATACCAATGTGGCACTTGTCTGGTTTCAAGGTTAAACTGGCGCCTCTGATCCTGTCTAATACTGCCCCTACATGTTCCAGGTGTGCCTCCCAAGTATCGCTATAGATGGCGATATCGTCCAGGTAGGCACACGCATAATCCTGGAGATCTTCCAACAGACGGTCTACCATCCGTTGGAAGGTGGCCGGGGCGTTCTTCATCCCGAATGGCATAACCCGAAATTGGTATAGGCCGAACGGGGTGATAAACGCTGACTTGGGTACCGCATCTTCTGCTAAGGGGATCTGCCAGTATCCCTTACATAAGTCTATCGTGGTCAGATACTTTCCTGTAGAGATGCAGTCAAGCAGCTCGTCCATCCGTGACATCGGATAGGCGTCTGTGACTGTCTTGTCATTGAGCCGCAGGTAATCTACACAAAAGCAGGTCGTACCGTCCCATTTTGGCACTAAGACTACCGGTGAGGCCCAAGGACTGTCTGAATGCTCTATTACCCCTAGTCAAAACATTTCGTCAATTTCTTTCCGCATCCCATCTCGGACAGCTTCGGGAATGCGGTAGGGGGTTTGCTTTAGCTGCGCCTGCCCCGGTGTGTCTACTTTGTGAACCGCTAGTGGGGTATACCCGGGCTCCTGAGAGAACGTGGCCTGTTTGGCCTCGAGTAAGCAGATAGC